TAGATCCTGGGGGTGGGGGGCGCGGGGTGCTTCGGCTTCTTCTTCGTGCTGGAGCCGAGCCCCGGGGCGCCTCTCACCAGCCCCAGGTGGGGCTTTTTCTTCTTAGTCTTGCGGGACTCCGAGTTGTTCGTACCTGGGCGGGAGGGAGGAGCCGGGATGCTGGGGCCTGGCTGGGGCAACAGAAGCCCCCCAAAACAGGGAGGATTCCCCTAGCAGAGACCTCTATCCAGGGAAACCTACCCCAAACTAAGGAACATTGCTGCACCCAGGAATACGAGTGACAATTACCCAGCAGAGCCAGTTTAGGGACCATTTGAAATGACTGGATAGCCATGGCCCATCCCCTCTTATGCTGGGGAGATCCTGGGGGCCAGGAGCAGATAGGAGTGACCAGTCATGTCCCTGCCCGAGGGTTTTGTGCCGCAGGGTCTTCCCCACTTAAACACTCACTTGCTTTCGAGGAGGCTGAGTCAGAGGGCGAGATGTCGGAGGAGCCGTCCCACTGGAGCCGGCTCATGATGGCCTGGCTCTCGGCCACGTCGAAGCTGTCGTTCTCCACGCTGCCCTCCGCCTCGGGGAGGGACCTGAGCAGAGGCGTTACACATGTCCCCAGGCCCAGAGCTGCACCCAGGGGTGCTGGCTCCCCTGGCCTCCCTGCTCGCTCATCGGTGCAAGGGAGACACTAAGGGCTTGATCCAGCTCCCCGCAGCATGGCCGGGGCTGTACTCACAGCTGGATTGTGTATCCCGATGCCAGCCCAGCTGGATCCCCAGGCTCCTGTCCCTTCCCTGCACCCCAAATCCCCCCAGAGTCGTCCCTGTCCCATCCCTACCCTCACTCTGGACCTGGGGGCAGAGATGCCCCATGCAGCCTCCCCACGATATCCGTTCACAGGCTGCTGGCACTGGGTGACAGAGCCTCGTCCCCGTCCCCATGCTGGGCCATTGGCCCTCACAGACCCCATCTGTGCGCTCACTTACGCAGAGGGACCGAGGAGGTAAACCCGGACCGACCTCCGCTGCTCATCCGTGTGCTGTGGACACCGCAGGGACCTGCGAGAGGAGACGCAGGGCTGAGTCAAGGCATTTTGCTGTCCCCCTCCACCTCCCCCCCAATCTCCCATCCAGATCCAGGCACCCTGGGGATCCCCAGAAACCCCAGACAGCCCTTCCCAGAGCAAGAAAACCCCGAGAAGCTCTCACCTGGTGCACATCTTCTTAGTGTGTTCGGAGATGACCCCGCATTGCTGGGGAGAGAAGAGGTGGGTGAACAGGCGGACGAGAAGCCACGCAGCCCCAGGACTGCTCTCCAGCATGCTGGCCCGAGGGAGACAGTCCCCAGGAACCATGGTCCTGGGCACCCTAACCCCCCCAGATCTGTCTTGTCACCCCCAAGAGAGACCAGCCACATCAACCAGATCTACCACCCTGGGTCACTATGGCCCTGGGATTGGGACCTGCCGCCCAGCCGGGTGCAGAGGTTTCTCCAGGCAAAGAAGCACTGGGGAAAGATTTCCACACCAGAATCGCGTCCTGCTTGCGCGCCCTCAACCACCTCTCCTTGCCAGAGATGTCTGCCCAGGGTCTGGTCCAGTGGCACCCCACAAGCCGCAGCGGTGATGGCCGCAAGCAGACCCCTGGGGCCACGCACCGTGGTGAGCAGTGTCCGGAGCTCCTCGGGGCCCAGCGTCTCGTAGCTGATTACCGCCGGGTTG